TCTGAGGGAAAATTATTCCGCAGTAGCAAATGTATGCTGAAACACGCTTCCAGCTAATCTGACACGATCAGAGGGTGCCCGTCACTCCCGATGCTAGAGGAAGATGCCTTATTTCCTTCGCCGACTGACTTCCTAGTTTTCGACATGGACTTGTTCACGAGTGATGTGAATTCGAAACCTTTAGTAACAATCATGCAGTACTTAATTTGATATGACGTCATATTACATATACATCATATAAAAGGGCAAAACATTTTTTTTAACGGGCAGACTAGCAACCAGCCCGTCTTGTGTAAAGTTAGCACACAGTCACACAGGCATTGCTTTTCTCCATTAGCGACGGTTATTAGCATTCAGTGGGCCATAAGTTCGTCACAATAAATAAATAAAACATTAAATCGAACCCTCTATTGTGTTGGTTACGTTATAACAGCTGCCTTAAGATTTGGAATATATAAATGCTTCGCGAGTGAAACAGGCAGAGGTATTATTTATGCGTATAGGCGCAGTAAGCTTTACCACTATCATCTACTATATCTAATGATTAGAGAGAAACTTTTGTAATGAGGTGAAGTACCTATCAGTACATACGACTATAATTTCATACATGATTTATTAAGTTTACTCTATAGTGGTCTCTGTAGTCTTCAATATGCTGTTATACTTTAGTAACTAACTTTAACTCAATTTAGAAAGCGTATGGAGAATCATGTCTGCAATCAGTGTCTCTTATAGAGTAGCAACTCTAATTTCAATCTGACATCCGACGATTGCGCATTCCGTCTAAGCAGATTTGATTGCTGTTCTATATCAAATCTCGACCTTGATTCAAAATTACTGTGTGACCTAATATCAAAAGGGACATCAAAAGAAAACACATTTAACGGAGTTTGCCATTTTCATTAACTATAAAACATTAAGCTGCGTCCAATGTCGGTATAATTACATTCAAACAATTTAAATGTCTTTTCTTCTCAAATATTTTTGTAGTAATTTCCAAAACAGATGAAAGTAATGTTATCCAAAGAGATATAACTTTGTAATAGAACTCTCGTCTGAAAGCTTATCGATGATTGATGGACGGAATGTAGACAGAGACATAATTATAGGACATAACGTGAACCATTTCCATGTCTGTCTTGAATATCGAATTATGGATTAAAATAATTTGCATTATTACAAAATATTATATTATATCATGTTGAATTAATCCATTATGATTTAATTGCTTGATTACAATGAATGAATGAAATGAAATGCGTTTATTTCAGGCAACTTAAGCCCATAAAATGTCACATACAATTACATAACATCTAAATCAAAATACAATAAAATTAAAATTACAATTTATCAGAATGACTAAAAACAAAACAAACAAAAATGACACCAAATCAAAATTATTAAAATTAGAATTGTCAACTACTAATATAAAATTAATAAAAGAACTAATACAATAAATAATGAAATAATGTTAACTGAGTAACCGCCACCATACCAGTCACTATACTACGTATTTTAACAATACGTAGTTAAAATTGTTTTGTAATAAAATGTAGGAATATAGGAATTTAAAATTATTTTGCTCATTAGAAATATTCATAAAAGTGAATCTCGAAAAACAATTCCTAAATTTCGAATAACAAATGAATCGAAATTTTATCTGGATTTAATCGCTTCTTTGTTTAACGAGATGTCAGCTTTCGCTTGAAATACATTTGAATACGAGCAGGGAATATCTAGGAACTGGTCCCGCTTGCTTGTGGCGTTGATGAGAATTAGTTTCCACTGAGAAAGCTCATTTTTCTCCTTAACAAAGGTTTGAAACAAGCTCAAAGGGCTAACTGCTTAATCTACTTGCGGAGCATGGGATTTAATAAAAAGTAATACAGAATCCTGTAGTTTTTTATTATTATATACTGTTTTAATGTAATATAAAACGAAATGGGCTATGGAATGAGCACCACTCCACGGTGTTTCCCGAGCGCTATGACATGTCCTTCTTCAAACGAGGCCTGTGGAGAGTATTAAGCCGTAGGCAGCGGCTTGGCTCTGCCCCTGGCATTGCTGAAGTCCATGGGCGACGGTAACCACTCACCATCAGGTGGGCTCGTCTGCCTACAAGGGCAATAAAAAAATATGAAATTAATAATATTGTAAAGAAAGCCCAAAAACAATGCAACAAAGTTTCGAAATTGAAATAAATAGCTCAATTGTAAACATTATTCAGAGTTAAAACAGAAAAGGGACATTAAAAATAACTTTAACGCGCGTCTTCGCTAGAGTTGACTTCGGAAAAAATATATAATAAAAATATACATTGTTTCCGCTCGTCAACTGATAATAAAGTTAAATTGTCACGCGTTAAGCAAAAATAGTGAATTTACATGTTTCAATCGTATTTTTTCTGATCGTATCAGTATTTAACAGTTCTTTGTCTACGCGCGTCCGTGCTGTTTTCGTGCACCTGGTATAACCATAACATAGACGAAACAAAAAGTAAGGTTATAATGTCAAAGACTACAGAATCGTGTTAAGCTTAATGCCGAGTCATGGCCACTCACAACTTCGGATGGCCACTAGCTCGGCCGCCGGCACAAACGGACAAATGGAAATATACGACGGACATCCTTTTAGCGTGTTACTACGTTGCAAAATTTCTCAGGCAATTGACTTTCTTTGAAGATTTAGTTGCTTTGCTCACTTTCAAAAATGTTTGTTGTATTCTTTTCTTTTTTCAATTAAGACATCGACCTCAGTAATTTAGAGGGCAGCATTGTGATATAAATGTACTAAAATGTCATCAAGTTTATGGCATTTTATCGCAATTTTATGGCATTCATATGGGATGCTGCCTTGTGAATTTTCACTAATTCGATTTCCATTCACATTCACAATTTGTATTATGATGTGATTTACTAATGAATTACTTATAATATGTAGGTACAGTATGCCTTTTGATACACACTGAGATAGTGCACATCTAAAAGCACATTTCCTCGAATCAATCCCTCGAGTATTAAGTAGTATAAGTGTTAAGTCGTTCGAGTTACTTTCGTATAGCATAACTATGTATGTTGTAATAATACACATATAGCTGATTACTTCCTCTTCCAATAAAAGGCATTTTTGCACCAATTTCTGGACATTCATTATGAAGCGGGAACATTCTTCCGTCTATATATTTACGACGAACCATTAATTCGGTTGAAGTGTCGGTAATGTGATGAAAGCCTTCTTCTAATTCTTTTTTGAGCCTCGCCGTACGCAATTACATAGAAAAATGATTTATTTTTCCTTCACGCCGCCGCGCCGCTTCTTTTTGTTTTGTTTGTATGCGAAAATCACTAATGGGGTTAATCGCAACTTTTGATCTTATGTTTATTTTATGTATTTTAATAATTATGTTTAGAACCACATAATGTTGCCTTGCTAAGTTATGTAGTGGCTTAATTTTGATTTTTTTTTTTTAAGAGATTTTATGACCTGGTAACTGAGACCTTTAAGTCATGTCTTATTTTATTCTATATTCTTAATTTTATGAAAAATGATATTATGGAGTGAAATGAAATGAAAATGATTAATTTGTGACATTAATCAACTAGGATGAAATTAAATGAGATGATATGAGATGAAATCTAATCTCAGTAAAATGGTGGTCATTTACTAAGATTTTTCAGTAGACTTTTTGGAGGATCCCGAGAAGTTACGTCCAGCGGCTTTGTTTCATTTTCCCACATTTGTGCACTTTCACAGATATTAAACGGTTAATAAACCACCATTATTACACATTTAAACCCGAAGAAACACTAAATAGACAAAATAAAACAAATCACACAACTTCACTCCTCGCGTTCCCGCCAAAAAGTCGCTTAATTTTGATTAAAAATAATCCACAATTACCCTCCCAAAATAAAAGTTTTAAAGTTAGTTAAGAATAAAACAGAGTCCATGAAAGTAGCGAAAAATAAATGCTAATTAAAAGTCTATCGTTGGTTTCATAACTGAATTTACTGTTGATCAATACCCCGAAGAATCAGGTGAAATAACGAGGTTGTTTCTCGAGAGATTGTTTTATTTTTTCATCTTTGTACGAACGACAAAAGCCTTGATTACAGAGCTTCATTGGCGATGCGGAGGGCTCTCGCCCCGACAAGCACTCTTCGTTTGTAACGAAATGTGCCAAATTGTCAACTCAGCCTTCGATCGCGCTTGATATTCTTGTATAAGACTTATACTTCAATCATAAATTAATAGGCTTATTGTACATAAAGCAAATGAAAACAATGAATCATAAGTAACGCAGTATAAGGTGTAAAATCATTTGATATTTCATTTGCTAATCCAAAAAATGTTTAAATTTTTCTGTCATAAAAATTATATGATAAGCAGTCCCCAAAGTTGGCACTAGATAACGTCACATTTTCTATAAGCCGTCTTGGCGAGTCAAGTTTGGGGAGGCTTTAATTTCCTTGTGCTAACATAATCTGGTAGTCAATTAAAATTTTCTTACGCGAACGTCCTTTATAAATTGTTCTCGGTAAAGGGTTTTATTTATTACTTTATAATTTGACCAGTCCTCAGATTTGCCCTTAAGATGCTTGTATCCGATTGACAACTTTTATACTTCTCTTCTCGTAAAGTTTAATAAAATTAAAACGAATTCGATGTAATCAATTCTTTTTTTATTTTAATTCAATTCGTGTCTATAATTCGGGTTAATTCAATGAAGATAAAAAGTCATGTATAAAAACCGCGATATTGCTGATCAAAAATATAAAATTAATAATTTGTACACTAGGATGTTCTGGTGAAAGAGTTCGATGATCTGAGAGAACACAGAGATGTCCAATCAGCACAACCGCACTTGGTAAGGGCGGGTCCACATATCCAAACTGCTCCAAGACATAGCCCAGAGCCATTATACAATGACCTACGTAAGGTAGGTACACTTCTATAGCATCAGATAGATCACACACTAAAGGATTCATTTAGTGCACTATTCAAATTCGACATTCAGGTTCGTAGTTTTCCATACCGAAATTCATTTCTTTATACTCGCCTAAAATGGATAGAATATTTGCAAACGTAAAGTAAGAATTCATTTCGTATTCTCGTTTTCCGTTTTTCAAACACAAATAATCTTCATAGAAGGTAGTAAGTTCCGTCATCAAAGCTACGAGATGTCCCAATAAAATGAGTAAATTGCTGATGAAGAATGCGTATTGGTTATCAGAGTTAATCTTTCCAATTACAAATCCTAAGAATACTAGACAGTTTCCGATTACTGATAAGTAGAAGTCGATAGAAGACAAGATAATCCTGGGCTTTGTTCGTAGTTGACATCCGTTGGTCTGTGGCATTTTGGAAATAATCGCAGCTCACAACTAAGTATTACGAAAGACGATTGTTAATATTTTGGTTGGTTCTTCATGATTTTGTTTCTGGTGCCAATACCCGAACGAACAACATTTAGTTTTATACCAACCATACTGATTTATAGTGTGTGACTAAAGGTTTGAATACGAAATATTACAAGCTTTTGTGACATATCTAGTGATGACAAATAATGACAATACACGTTCAATAATTTTGTGCTATGGCAACTTCGTTATTTAGTTCTAAAAGTTTCAATAGGATTAACGTTCTCGAATAAAAACCTTATTTTGGTGTTTGAATACGAAAAAGCGTTTTAAGAAATTCAGAGGCGCATTTTCACTTTAATCAATTCGGGCAATGAAATTGAACGGTATTCACGTGACAGCGCTCTCAAATATGTTCCCGTTGTTATTCGTTCGAATATATTATTTGAATATTATGCGGTCCCCCAGAAATACAAGGGTTACAGGTATTTGTTTCCTGTGAACAAAAAGGGTAAATTCTTCGGGGTTACGGACACACGCCTCCCTAATAGTTACAGTTAGAATAACTGCAAAAGTTGCCAGAGCAAGAAAATAAATAATGTATTATCTCGTTACATCTGCTAATGTCAGTTGCCTTTGCGCAAGCTATCCTAATACCGTACAATGGGGTAAATAGGGACAAAATCGACCTTCAGATTGAATTTTAAAATAGTTCCAATTAAATAGTCACTGCTCAACCAAAGAAATGAGTCTTGAACGTACCTAGGTGATAAAAACCGTTACATAATTTTAATTATTCATTTTAAAGAAATAATCGGTAAAATAATGGCCGTCCCAATTTACCCAGCGTCCGGGGTAAATTGACACGGTTAAGGGTTAAATTGGGATATTTGTAAGGGTTGTCATCTCGCAGTACTGCGATATATAGGTAGGTGCCATATAATTATTTATATGGACCGAAATGATGAATACAATCCATAATTTAAGCACAATACACAACATAGTGTAAATTAAGCTGGTTTCTATTCCGAAGCGATGTGACGTGAATGATAATCAACAATACAATGATCAAAAAAAGTATGTGCATGTTATATTTTAGAAAATTATTATTTAATTTCCTTAAAAATCACAACTCTGAAACAAAATGATAAAATAGAATAAAAAATAGAAAACAAAAGGACTGGAAATGCAATAATACAATTTTATTTAATCAACATTTTCAAAATAATCTTTGAGCAAGAGTAAGATATCAGGTGAATAAGATAAAAAAACAGCTTTATCTGATTACTGCCAATAATAACAAAAATAAAAGAAATTCTTTCTAAGCTAAATAACTAAACTCAATTAATTCACTCACTCATAATTGGATATCTCGGATTTTTAATTAATGTTACATTTAAAATCTGAGGCCTGTTTTTATTTGTGTGTGCGTTTTGAATGTTAACAAAATCATGATTCGACGCGTGAATAGATTCTGAAATAACAAAAGTTTTGATTCGTTTGAGTTCTTTTAACTTTTAATTTTTTTTATTGCTATAAAGAACATACGACCGGGCAGATATTACAAGGTAAATGTCGCGAAAAAAAAGTAATTATATATATACTTTTCTTTTACCTATAATACTTACATAAACTAACTGATAAACACATTAACCTTCTTTACATCACGCAATTAAGTGATAGTATAGGCTAAAAAATCTATTATAAGATATCAGTGACAACCCTAACAAGCCATCCCTATTTTGTCTTTTGGCGTTCCAATTTTGTGTTTTCTCGTCCCTAATTTTTCCAGTCTCGTTCCAAATTACCCTACATACGTCCCAATTTTCCCCAAAAAGAAAGGAAAAAATATACATTTTTTATTTTGTCGAAATATTGTATTTAAAATAAGAATATTGCAACTTACCGTTTGTTGTGGTATTTCCAGGTGTATTAAAAACTTATATAAACTGTGATCTTATTGAAAAAACAACGATAATATTACTTTTTTTAAAAGTTCTTTAAGCTGTTTTAAAACGCACTTTTCAACCACTATTTTCAATTTAATTTGACGAATTTTTGGGACCAACTTAACTCATATTTAGTACTTCCATAGTTAACTTGGTTTTTCTTCTATACATTGATAAATATTAACATAAACAAAATTAGGTAGATTCCGTGCTACAGGTACTTTGAGAATCTTCCGCAGGTTTGTCCCAATTTACCCCAGGATCCCAATTTACCCCATGTCATGGTACTCCTAAAAACCTAATATTCAAACCAATCTTACAAAATCCTACGAAACGCAGAAAAGATACGACACTGGAATGGTTTTTTCTAGAATATTTTAGAATGGTTAATTATAAAATCAATATTTAAAATATCTAAGTATGTGCCGTTCGTGTTCAAATGAATAAGACATCCGGTGCATCTATTCCTTTCAATCAATACATCTATGCCGGAGCTTGAAGTCGTTGTGGCCTAAAGGATAAGACGTCCGGTGCATTCGTATGTAGCGATGCACCGGTGTTCGAATCCCGCAGGCGGGTACCAATTTTTCTAATGAAATACGTACTCAACAAATGTTCACGATTTACTTCCACGGTGAAGGAATAACATCGTGTAATAAAAATCAAACCCGCAAAATTATAATTTGCGTAATCACTGGTGGTAGGACCTCTTGGGACTCCGCACGGGTAGGTACCACCACCCCGCCTATTTCCGCCGTGAAGCAGTAATGCGTTTCGGTTCGAAGGGTGGGGTGGCCGTTGTAACTATACTGAGATCTTAGAACTTATATCTCGAGGTGGGTGGCGCATTTACGTTGTAGATGTCTATGAGCTCTAGTAACCACTTAACACCAGGTGGGCTGTGAGCTCGTCCATCCATCTAAGCAATAAAAAAAAAGTTTAAAACCTGAAACACGCGGTTACAGAAAACTAAAATTCAACCTTGTTATTAGTAACATTTTTGAATTTCGTAGGGTGTACCTAAGTCATCATTTTCATCTTTGGCTGTACAGGCTCGCGTCGAACTCAGTGTTGTTTGAGCAAAATTTTCGTTTCTATCCGTAGATAATGAGTACAAGGTTCGATTGCTATTTGTTTCGTATTTCGGTGTCTCGTTCAAGTCATATTTACGACTCCTTAATTGAAAAGTGTGAGAAGCGGAATAAATTATTTTTTATTTGGCTTGGGTCGTTTCATAGGAGCTTCGAAATGGATTTTACTGTAATGAGAAATTATAACGAACGTTATATAATTACAGCGTTGCTTATTCGAATAAAATTTTCATCATCGTGTGTTTTTATTACCGCCATATTTGGTACACAAATATTTTTATATAATAATTTATTGTTGCTTCAAATTTTTTTTGTTACATTCATAGTTTGCCATACAAAAATAATATCAGTTAGAAATATTAACGTTATATACTGTCTGTTTATTATTGTAGATGAATAAACGAGTTCATATGGTCCAGTTTTATAAGAACCTTTCAGAACGGATTTGACCTCTGAATCACATTGTAACAATCAATGTCCATTTTATTTATTTATTTATTTGTTTTAGCCGGGGCGGAACGGAGTCGGACTCAGCAGCTGGAAATAGTGGTCATTATTACCATTTTCGACTGTAGATTTGGATGGTAGACAAGTCGGATACTCGTAGTCAATAAAATAATTAACTTATTTGAAATCTAAGTAGACCATAAATCATATCAAACGATTTGAAGTTGAGAGCAAACTTTGTGATTCAATTACGAATATTTTAGATGAAAGTACAAAATCGTCGATTTCGTAGGAAACTGAATTTGAATTAGTTTGTGGATTCCATGAAGTGTGCACCTAAATGGAAGTATGTATGTGGTGGAACTTGCAATCTAGCAACGCCCAGCTACTTCTGAAATTGACTTTCGTCAGGCACTTCTGAATTTCATCGTAATCCTTCCTAGATTCTGGCATTTTTAGAGATTTAAAATATTTGCCAAATTATAAATTTACTTACAAGCGTTCTGTTGTACTTCATTGTATGTATGTTTACTTCATTGTATTAAATTTTATCATAATAAAGTATAATAATACACGAGAAATGTCTGAAATACTCGCTTTTTGTCGGGATATTAATATGAATAAAAATACATTAACGGCCCATTTCTTTTTCAGTTACTTTTAAATAAAGACATGCACATAAATAATGAGCGATTAACGTAAATGATATTCGTGATAGCGTTTTAAAAATATATTAGAAAATGAAAGTCGATTTTTCTTCATATTTCAAATTCTTTATATACATACAGTTTAACACGATTTAACAAATACTTACAGAAAAAAAAAAACAAGTACATAGTTCGAACGTCGCCCGTCGCGTTCTGAATTCAAATAACGCGGTGAGGTGTGAGAATCTTGAGCATAGAGGACTTGCTTTAAGAGAGGTTTGGAATTCTTTCCTCGTTAGCAATATTGAATTTATCGGCAGGAATACGACGAACGACGTTTTGTGCGAGAATTCCTTTGCTTCGTATGATCAGCGGTGATTTGATCTAAAAAGTTTTTATGGTTCACATTTCAGAACTTTTTTTACATGATACTTTAAGAATGTCCTATATTATTTTTCCAAATAACAAATTCATTGATATATAAATATAATGTAGACGTATTCATAATTTCTTAAACTTCTTCTGTCCTTAAATACTAATCTAAAATAAACCATTTTCATTACTTGATAAGTCACTTTTGGAACTATTAAATTTTATAATCCGCTAAATTATCTATGACTACAAATGAAATTGACATATATTTAATTAACTATTTCATTAGTAGGTATCTGCAGAATAGAGTTTTTCTTTTTTATCAAGTACTAGCTGACCCAGCAGACTTCGTTGTGCCTCAATCGATAAATAAAAGACCTGAACTTTTCTGTAAAATAAACTTAAAACAAACAAAAGGAATCCGTCCGACGGGGGACACATAAAAGGGAAAAAAAATTGTTATTTTTATTTATATTCCGAGCATTTTCAGATTT